AAGCAGGCAGAGAGGCAGGCAGATAGAGAGGAGGAAGCAGGCTCCCCAACGAGCAGAGAACCCAATGCGGGGCTCGATCCCAGGACATTGGGATCATGACCTGAGCTGAATGCAGAGGCTTTAACCCACTGAGGCATCCAGGTGCCCCAGTTTTATTTTATTTTAAAGATTTTATTTATTTATTTGACAGAGAGAGACACATCGAGAGAAGGAACATAAGCAGGGAGTGTGGGAGAGGGAGAAGCAGGCTTCCTGCGGAGCAGGGAGCCTGATGCAGGGCTCGATCCCAGGACCCTAGGACCATGACCCAAGCTGAAGGCAGATGCTTAATGACTGAGCCACCCAGGCACCCCTGCCTTCAGGTTTAGAACCAAATATGATATCTCCGCCTCACAGGTTTCCAAGTCCGTAACCACGTTTGTAGTGTATGGTCTCACCAAGACTGCCCCCTCTTAAACTCTTCTGATTCATTTCCTGATTGTCTGGAAAACATTCACAAGTACCTCTCTCAAAAGGGATATATGATTGGAATATTGTCTGCAGCCTTGCACACTGGAGAATGCCTTTGGCTCGTTGTGGCCTGCACACACATACAAAATAGTCTAGCTGGGTATAAAATTCCTCGGTCACAGACTTTTCCCTCCTCACGACCTGTGGGCATCGTTCCATGGCCATCTGGCTGGCTTCTTCTTGTTGATTTCTAATCCGCTCATCCTGGGATTTCATATGTGTACGAAGATGTGTCTGGGTGTTGGTCTCTCTTGCTTGATGTTTTTCCAAAAAGTTGGTGAGCCTTCTTGTGCATATGTCGGTCTGCCTTTAGCTCAGAAGTCCGATCGTTCATTGTTTCTATCCTGCTTGGCTTCTGCTGCCTTCTCTCCCCATCATACGTCACCCTCCACATTCTCACCGTTCTCTCCTTCGTCTTTATCCTTTATCCTTTATTGTCTTTATCCTTTTCCTCTAGAATCTGCGAGAGTTTCCCCAGTTCATTCTCTGTGTGTCCGAATCGGGTGTCTCCAGGATCCCTTCTCTTGACTGCTTCCGAAATGGGTTTTGATTGAGCTACTGAGTGTTTTGGTTTGGGTCTTGGTTTTTCCAGCTCCTCTTCCTCTCCTGTGTCACGTTCTTTGTATCATCCTGTGGCCTCTTTAGCTCAGGCTGGTCTTCCCTTCTGGCTTTCTTCTCCAACTTTACAGAAGCCATGTCTTTTCAGATCTTTTTTTAGTCTGCCCTAGTCACACGTTGTCCATGGCTGTTGTCACGCCCCAGCAGTGGACTTTGAATACTTGTGATAGAGACTGTATGGCCTGCAAAGCCTTAAGTATTTACTGTTTAGCATTTTGAAAAAAAAATTGCAGATTCTTCTACTAGGACAACTGGATTCCCATCTCAGCTACACACTGGACAGCAGGGGACTAGATACAGCTCTGGCCCTGCTCCCTGGCTCCTGCCAGTGTCTCCCTTTGATTCACTGTGTTCCTTGGGGATGGCATCCTTCTACCCGCACTGCCTGATATCCTCCTTCTCTGGGCTGGTCATTTTGATAAAAATGAAAGTGCAAATATGCAGGTGTGCTGTCGTCCTTCTGGGCCCTCCCCTTCCTTCAGCATCCCGTCCCTGGAGGAGGGCACCAGCCCCAGCTCCCCTGCCTACCTCCTGCCCATTTGTTTCCTGCTCATTGTCCCTGTGTCCTCTCTTTCTTTGAGATCTCTCCATGTGTTGGACGAGAGGCCGTGTCTCGAGGTAAAGCCTGGGACAGGTTTTCTCCTTCCTCCATCATCTGCCTTTAATTAATAGAGACTGCTCCCAGATTCCAGCATGGGGGTCATCTATCCATTTGTGTTTTTTTGGCGGGACTGTGAATTTTCATTTTTCTCGTTGTCTTTACAGCTCTTTTGGCACCAGGCAAAGAGGGGCTCCGTGGGTCGCTGCCAAGTAGATATGCCATTTTGAAGGAGTCAGAACCACATGTGAAACCTGTGGCTTGTCCCTCCTGAGGCCGTCTCTGTGGTTGTGTGTGTATTTGATAGAAGAAGAAAAGGCAGGAACATTTTCCCTACCCAGGGACCACTTGTCTGATGACCTCAGTTGTGTGGAACACACCCAAAACAAAGAATCCGCCAGCCGCCAGATAGCGGCCATGGTGTCTGTGACCTGGACGTTACTGACTCTACCCAAAGGAGAGCGTTTCCATCGTCCTCATTCCAAGCCCATTTACCCATGTTTTACGTACAGGTCTAAGAGTCTCGGTCTTTGTTTCCCTACTCTCAACCCAGCTGGAATCGACAAATCCAAAGGGAGTGGGGGGACATCTCACAATGAGCACATGGCCCTTAAGAAGTATTTCTGGGGCTTCTGGGGGGCTCCGTGGGTTGAGCATCTGTGTTCGGCTCAGGTCATGATCTTGGGGTCCTGGGATTGAGTCTCCGTGGCCGGCCCACCCCAGCTCTGAAATGGGGCTGGTACTGCGATGTTCTCATTGGGCAGGGAATGGATGCCACACATTCTGGGACGATGTCTGTCCCAGGTAGATATCTGGCTCTGGAGAGAACCACTGTTGGTGTTAGCAGGAGGGAAGGCAAGAAGTAAGCCCAAGGTGCCCTGGGAGGAGACTGTCACCGGGCTCTGCCACCGTGCCTTTGGCCCCCACAGTGCATGGCAGGTGTTCTAGAACCTTCCTGAGCTCTGGCTTCCTGGCTTTCAGGTGGGATTGACAGGGACTCCCTCACAAGTGTGCAGAGCCCACGGCTACACGGTGCTGTGTCCCCCTCCCCTCTGGGTTGTGTGCCTCAGTGCCCAGCTGGAGAGGCCCCCCGGGGAGTGAGAGCGGAGATGATTTTCCGGAATGCAAGCACAGACATGGACCAATGGCTTTTGACTTCGGTAAAAAATAACCAAAAGGCGAGGAGTAAGGGGGTTCAAGGCCGTCCCGGGGAGATCACCCAGCATTCCTGTTAGCTCCTCTAAGTGGGGAGAGCAGGGAGGGAGCCCAGCCCACTCTCAGGACCGCGGGTCTCTTGCACATCCTGGGTTCAGCTGCGGCGGTGGCTTTGCTGTGCGCGTCATCTGTTCCTGTGGTGGCTGACCCGCGGCCTGGAGCAGCTGCTCCCCAGGGTGAGGCACGGGGCGCTGGGCCCGGTGCGGATGCCTTGGGTCCATGCGTTGGGGCTGCCATCACATTGCGTTGACCGCTCGGGCTTGGTGGCTGCAGAATGCAGGCGGTGGTCCCTGGACAGCTGTGTCCCTGCCTCCTGAGAGGTCCCCTCCCTCCCCTGGTGGCCAGCCAGCTATCTGGCAGAAGTCACTAGCAGGATAGCCTCCGGGTGCCCCTGGCAGGGTGTCCTGGTGACCAGGAGGGGGTCCCGGGGCTCAGACCACAGGGGACCAGGAAGCGGGGGGGGGCTGCGTTTTCCCCTATTTTCTGAGACTTGTTCCCCACTGCGTGCTCCCCCTGCCCCTCCCAAAAGCTGGCTCAGGAGGCAGCAGGGGGCTGCCAGGCCGTGGGCCCCCTGGGCAGTGGGATGGAGCAGTTTCGACTCTAACCGAGGCACTAGTCCGTGAATTCCAGGACCTGGAAGGAGGCAGCCACATCTCACGGGGCCAGAGACCAGCTCTGGGGTGGGAGGTGTCTCTGAATATTCTCTGCATCGCTAAGCCGGAGGGTGAGGGGCACTGGGAGGACTGACTCCCTCCCCAGCTTTGTCCTGTACCCCACACAGATCCTTCCTTACCCCCAGGTCAGCTTGGCAATGCCCTCTGCAGGGGGAGGGGCTGCACCTGCTCCTGGGGCGATCCCCTCAATGTGTGTGTGTCCCCTTTTTAGCCCCCCGAACCTGTCACCTGGACATACCCCTAGCTCACCTCTCTTGCCCGATGCTGCCATGGCTTCTAGAACATTCTGGGCCCTCCACCGGCTGTCTGGGCCTTGCTGGAACACGGGGTACTCCTTGTGCCCTGCTCTGAGCTTCACACCCTGCTGGCATTGTGTTTACTGAACCACAGCGTGGCATAACCCAGAGAGCAGTCCTTGGGCCTCTCACGTCCGAGTTCAAGGCCCAGCCTGGGCACCAGCTGTCAGCGAGGCCTTGGGCAGGGGGCCTCAGTGTTCCTACCTACAGAATGGGACCGTCACCCCCACATCCTAGAATGGTGGTGAGACTGAGTGAGGCCTGGTGTGTCGGGCAGTGGCCAAGCGTTGCATCACCTTGTCGGAGGATCGGAAAGAGCTGGCTGGGAGAGGGCCTGGCTGGGCCGAGGCAGGGTGTTTGCTCTGGTGGTTGGACGGAGGCCCCCAGCCCCAGGAGAAGCGGGCCCAGGGGCTAACCGACCCCAGAGGCCCTGCACTTTCCGCCTGGCTCGCACCCCAGCTCCGGGAAGACCCCGATATGCTCCCAGCGGCCGCAGGCCCATAGCCCTGCCTCGCAGCAGTGGGGCCCATTAGAACTGAACTCCCCTCCGCGGGCCATTCTATTTGCACACTCCAGTAGAGTGGACACCAAAGGCGTTTTCTAATGCTTCATGGGCTGCTAATTTCCTCCGTGACCTCTTTTGTTGGGGTCTGACCCCAGCCAGAGGCTCTGCGCCATGAAAGCCAGCGCCTGACACAGACCCGGGGCGCGGGGTGACAATGAGGCCTCTATCGGCTTTAATCAGGTTCCAGTTGTGTCTTAAGAACGGGTTGGGGGGAATCTGGGCGGCGCTCGGAAGCCCTGGGTGGCACAATACCACAGGCCCCAGTGTCCCTCACAGAGGCCAAGGGGGCTCCAGGCGGTGGCTGAAGGGCTCCTTGGGGCCACAGGGTGGGGGGCCGGGCCGGGTGGGGGGCCCTTTGTCCCAAGCGCCTCTTGAGAAGGCCTGGCTGCCCTGAATGGCAGCCCCGCCCGGCCCCGTGGGTATCGCAGGCCTCTGGGCATCTGGGGAGGGGGCCTCCCCCTCACCCCCGGCCTATTCATCGCCAGCCTAATTAGGTTTTTTGTCTGTGTTCTCCTCCCCTGCAGACTGTGATTCCTACTGCAAGGCCTCCAAGGGGAAGCTGAAGATTAACATGAAAAAGTACTGCAGGAAGGACTATGGTGAGTGCCCCGGCTCCCTGTCTGGGGACCATGTGACCAGTGGGGGTGGGGTGGGGGGGCGGGTCCTGGTGTCCCGTGATCAGCAGGGGGCCTGGCTGGTGGGATCCCACGCCCAAGGGACTTGTCAGCTCTTTCCCCGAGGCCCTTGGAGGCAAGGGGTGCCAGGGGACTTCTGGGGGGGGGCGCGAGGGAACTGCAGGGCTCGAGGACTGAGTTTTCTCTGCCCTGGGCAAGAGCTCCCCTGTGGTTGGGATTCCCAGCCTGGCCTCCAGCCTCCACTCTGCCCCAGGTTGGGGGCTGTGTGGCCTCAGATTAGTCGCTTTGCCTCTCTGGTCTTGGGTGCCATTCTCCGTACTATGGGCTTTCAACTTGAGTCTCCCTCCGTGGCTCAGCGTGGGGTCCTCCAGGTGTCAGGAAAGGGGGCAGCAGCTCCATGGGCTTAAAAGCCTCCTCCTTCCAAATGCTGACTCTGCAAAGGCTGGGGTGGGCCGGGGAATCTGCATTTTAAGTGGTCGCTGGGTCCCGGAGGGTGCTTTGCAGCCAGCAGCTCTGGGGCTGACAGCCCTGTCCCTTGAGCTGTCAGGGCCCCCGTGCCCCTTTCTCTGTTGGATGGCCCTGTCCTCCTCCGTACACACTTGCTGGGAACCTCCTTCCTTCCAGGCTGCCACCCAACCCTGGGAGGAGGTAAGGAGCTGGCTTTGTGGTGTCTGGTCCCTGAGAGTGGCTGTGCTGGCTGGAGGCCTGGGCTGGCCAGACAACACGTGATGTGGGGTCAAAGCCTGACTTGGGAGGCTGTTGGGGAGCCCGCTGGAGGAGGGGAGCCCCTCAAGGCCACCCTTGCAGCCGAGAGCCAGGGGTCACTTCAGAGCAGGTGCCTAGCAAACAGGAGACCCAGGGGATCTGCTGGCAGTGGCAGGGGAGGACCCCAGGCAGAGACCTGGGTGTCCACATGGGCAGCCGAGGCCCCTGTCACCCGGCCAAGAGGTCACCGCGGCCTGGATGGAGGCCCAGGGGCTCTGAACCCAGGCCTGGCACCTTCGACCGTCCGGCCCTCCTCTGGACCTGTTGGGCTTGGCGGATTTGGGGAGGCGGCTGACCCTCCCCAACCCCCTCCGTCACCCCCGACTCCCACTGATGCTGCCTGGTCCTGTCACCTGGCCCCCAGAGGTGGTCCCCCAGACACGGGCTTGGCAGGCCTGTCCACCCCACACCACGCTGGCCTCTCCTGTCCGCCTTTCCAGACCTGCCTCACTCTGTATGTCTGGAAGCTGCCAGAACAGGGCCCGATGCCTCCCAGGCTCCCAGGGAGGAGCGACCCTTGCGAGTTGCCTGGCAGCTGGGCCGGAAGGGAGGGAGGAAGGAGCAGAGCCAGAAGAGGACCTCTGTCTGTCCCTCTGTCCCTCCGTGACCCAGCCTGGCCTGCCATCTGCCCGGGGCGGGCTGTAGGAACCAGACGTAAGGTGTTTCTCTTTAATAAGGACAAGGGTCCGGCCCTTTAAATGTAACGAAATACATGAGGGAACCCAGAGGAATTTGGAGAACTTATAAAACGTAATCATTGTACCCGTGTGAGTGTGTGTACAGACACGGGTACACACGCACACACACACACGCAACCTTATGTCCCCAGAGCCTAGAGGCTGCCCAGGGTGCCTGGTCTGCCCCTTGCTGGGGGTGTGTCTCCCGGTGGCCCCGATCCAGACCCATGTGTGGCCTGCAGCCAATTTCCCAAAGCCCCGTTCAGATGTTTGCACCCGCGACAGTGCAGGAACGTCCGGCTGCCGCTGGAAGAAGAAACCTCGAGATGGTTGAAAGGGAAAGGGAGCGCAGTCTCAGCCCTGGTGACACGCACAAGGGAGGGATGAGGGCTCAGGCAGGGGGGCCCAAGGGTTTTGTTGCGGTCGTAGGGTTGGGGCCTGGGATTCAAGTGCGGGCTCTGTCCACAGGCCCTGAGAGCCAGCGGCTATAGAGAGCGCTGCCCAGAACGGGGGACGGCATGGTGGGTGTGCTGGGGCGGGAGAGCTTGGAGTTGTTCCGGAAGCATCTTTGGGGGAACACACCTGAGGGCTGGAGGGGGAGGGCCCAGCAGTCCTTCTGTGAGGTGCTGGCCTGCAGCCCCTGTTCGGTTCTAAAAGCAAAGAAAGGAAAAATTAGGCTTTTAAAACAGTTACTGGAATAGCGCGTGTGTCACACCTGGTTCTGTGGGACTCGGCCCTGTTTTGTTCTCTTGTCTTCTTTTCCTCCGTTGAATTCAGCTCTCCTGACCCCCAATGTTCTGGGGGACCCTTGTCCCCCCTTGGCACTCTGCTGGCCCCCATCAGCAGGAGGGCTAAACACCCTCTTTTTGTCAAAGGGGACCAGACACAGTCTTTTTATGAACGTAGAGGGGCCCCATCGGCTTATTCAGGAGGGAGGGAGCAGCTCCCCACCAGGGCAGGGGCCCGCAGGTGCAGCCGGAGCCTCGTGCTGGGGCTGGGGGTGGGGGGCTGGTGAGGTGTCGTGCGGGGGTGTAAGTGTGAGCGTGCACACGTGCCTTGTGTGACAACAGGGGTGGGTGTGCTTGGGTTCGCAGGACCCTGCATTCCGTTGGGACCACAGACCCCCGGATAACGTGAGAGTGGGGGCGCCCCTCCCCAGGTCGGCGCGGGGGCATGATGCACAGGAAGAGGATGAGGAGGGAGGTGAGGCGGGCAGAGCGGGCCAGGCAGAGGCGGACTGGGGACTGGACTTTCTGGGGGCGGGGGGGGGGGGGCTGCATCGTCCCTGCTCTGACACCTGGCAGGGAGCCAACTAGAAAATGTAACCAGTGCCCTGAATGTTCTAGAAGCTGCTGATGAGCGCCCCGGGATGGCCGCCTCTGCCACGTGAAGAGCAGGCCCTGGGCCCCATCTCCTGCTGGGGACGTGGAGCTGGGTCTCCGCCGACTGGGGCAGGGGGAAGAAGGGGTGTGAGGGCAGGTCCTGCCCTGTGTTCGCTCTGGCACATTCCCGATGGGAGGGGCTGGGTTGGGCACCAAGTGGAGAAAGGGAGACGGGGGTCAGGGGAGGGCCTCAGGGCCAAGTCCCACCGTGCTCCTCGCATCCACAGAGCGCCCCTAGCAGGGGAGGGAGGCCTGTTCTCTTCCCATCTGCAGGGGGGGGACAGCAGCCCCATGGTTTGGACATGCAGGCCCCCAATGTGCTGTGGGACTTGGGGCAGGAGCCTCACCAGCCAGGGCCTCGGTTTCCTGTCACATGGGGGTCTCATCCAGGGGACATGACACCTTTCTGGATAAGACCCAGTGTGCACGGGTAGGTGTGATGGTGTGAACAGCTGCGTGTGCGCTCGTGGGTGTGTACGTGAGTGTGGGCACGTGTGCGTGGATGTGGGCGTGTGAGTGGGCTCCTGTGGAGCTGCTTGTGTGATCACGTGTGGGTGCACGAGTGTGACAGTGTGTGAGCACGTGCAAGTGTTCCCGTGTGCATGTGGGCGTGTGCGCACACATGTGGGGGTGTAAGTGTGAGCGTGCACACGTGCCTTGTGTGCAACAGGGGTGGGTGTGCGGGTGTGAATGTGCACAGACGCACATGTGTGTTTGTGACCCTGTGTGTGTGCACATCAGAGCGTGTGTGTGCTTGTGTGATAGGGAGCACATCTGTGTGTGCTGTGTGGGCCCGTGAGTGTGTGTGAGTGTGCCCTCTAGTGTGTTCACCACCGAGTCTGGGCAGCATCTGTCTGGAGCCCCTCCCCCCGGAGTCATGCGCTGCCAGCCAGGGGAAGTCAAGGCAATGAGGGTGACAGAATTACACTGTCCCCAGGGCCCTGTGGGGGGTGGGCACTAGGCTGGGGCTAGGGAAGGTCTCAGGCCGCTCCCATGACCATCCAGGCCCGGCCGCTCGGCCTCCTGCCTCTGCTCCCTCTTGTCCCTGACCACCTTCCGGGCCCTGTCCTCACTCACCACACCTGTGCACCCTCCCTACCCCCCCCCCCACATATCCCAGGGCGTCCTGCTCCCTCACATACCCATCCCCAGCCGGTCCCTCTTCACACACTCATTGAGCACCTGCTGTATGCCCCATCCTGTCCTGGGTACTGAGCTTGCGGATTCGGAGGAGACACTGTCTTAGCCCCCAAGGAACTTACAGTCTAGGAGGGAGACATGCACACAGTCAAGAGTGGGGCGGGGTGGACAAGCCTGAGTTCCAGAGCCTGGCTCTCCAGAGAGGGCATAGAGGGAGGGCTTCCTGGAGGAGGGTCCTCGGTAGCCAGTGCTCACGGGGCAAAGCAAGGCTCCCAGGCAGAGGGAGGAAGGCCTCGGCCACAGAAGTGGAAACAGGCTGGGGAAGCAGGTGCTGGATGCAAGGGTGTGGGGGCCAGGGAGCCTGGGATGAGCCCCCAGTGGGCCTCAGCATCCATGGCCACGTCCGAGCCCACTGAGAGCTGGGCCTGCTCACGTGGGCCGCCGTGGGCTCCTGGGTGCTGCCTCCAGGCTTTTCCTTCTCCTTGGGCTTTGCAAGTGGGGGGGGACGGACAGCTCACATTCTGAAAGGTGAGATCATCTCACTTTTGCCAGTTCTTGGAAAAATGATTCGTTCCCAGAAATGTTTATTAGTCACCCCTTTTGTTGAAAGACATTTTGGCACCACCAGATGGAAAAATCAGAATGCTTTTCACGAGACGATCTGCGTCCAGTACGCCTCCTGAGCTCCCGCAGGGATGGCGTCTGGGTGCGGCTCAAAGGGGAGACCCTGCTGGCATCTGTGGGGGAGAGACGGGGCTTGCTGGGCTGTGCATGTGCACGCGCGCCTGCTTTCTCGGGGGGGGGGCCCGTGGCAGAAGCGGGCCTGGGACCTAAGTGGAACTGTCATTCACCCCAACATGCCTCCCCCTGCACCCAGGGACCTCCCGGGGCCTTGCCAGGCCCAGGACGGGGCACCTCACGGCCTTTCTTCCCGTCCTTGACAAATCCACACGAACACCTGTCACGGGGCACACACCGTGTCCTGCCCACGTTATGCTGA